CCCGCCACTCTACCTTAGAGTCTCGTGGTCTCTCGCCACTCTACCTTAGAGTCTCGTGGTCTCTCGTCAGCACTGTCTGATGACTGCCACTCATACAGGGCTTTTGAATGGATACTGCTGCTGGTGGCTTTTCTCTCTTGATATTCCCCGGATTCCTTTTGTTCCTGCCTTGTTCCTGAGATAGCGCTCTTATACACAGAAGGTTGTGAAACTGAACAAATCCTTAAGTCAGAGTCTTCACCTTATTTGCATGGTTCCACCAATCAGTCAGTGGGAGTTACAGAAAAATGGCTAGACAAGCCATAAATAGTTTCATTGCATAGCACCTACCTGGCCTGGATGTCTGGGACAACTTGCAAGTTTTAAACAGATTTACATAGGCAAAACTCGATAATCTGTAGTTCACATTCTGCCATTCTTTGTGGTACAGTACTTTGCTTTGAGCCATCTGGGCCTTGAACTCTACCTTATGTGTGATCCTTCTGTGACCTGCTTTACTTAACAAAGTGTTCTAGGCTCTTAAAAGACCTAGTTTTCTTTACCTCCCTCCAGTACTTCCTGCTTTTCAATGATGAGGAAAACAATTCACAGGTCTTAGCATTAGTGTTTTATGTATTTGAAAGTTTGTGTTAACAAGTGAATGTTGACTTGATAGACTTTTTCAAACATTGTAATAAAGTCGAGTAACAATAAGCTGTGTAGGAAGATAATAATTTAGCAATCATAGAGCCTGGATCAGCTCCAATGTACTGAAATATCAAAATCATGGAATCGGTGTTTGTATGCTTCCTCAGTTGTACTGGGGAGAGAAAACTTTGGAAAAATTCAGATTTTGACTCTTCACTGACCGTCTTTCTGAAATCCACAGTGCTATTATCATCTCTGGAGGACCTAATTCCGTGTATGCTGAAGATGCACCCTGGTTTGACCCAGCAATATTCACAATTGGCAAACCTGTCCTTGGAATTTGCTATGGCATGCAGGTACTTCTGGGAATTTGCCTGAGGGTTGGCTTAGTTTCACTCTGTGACTGATTGAATTGGTAATTTCTT